AGACTTTGCTGGATGTGAATGAGCAGAATTCATAGTGAATTAATAAAAGGGTTTTTTGTTGGGACCAGGAGTTTGCTTCATGCTCTCGGGAAGTGTAGGTCAGGACAGGCAGTGAGTAAGGACGAGTTGGGGACTCAATCTAGTTGCAGAGAGATTAGGAGATGGGCTACCAAATACAGATCCTGGGGTGGCCTTTAAGGCAAAAAGTGGGACCATCCGGTTCATTTGGGAACTTACTTCCTCTCTCAATCGCCACCCCGTTGTCACATCTGGACGCTCCTCACTTCCTGTCTCTCTTTCAGGCTTCAAAATGTGCGTCAGCGGCGCTGGGGTCGGGAGCAGCGAGGTGGCGGTCATGGCTGAGAAAAGGCTTAGGGTCCCAGATATTATTATCACTCCTCCGACCCCCACGGGGAAGGCGCTCTTGAGAGACCCCAGCCTGGAGAGCGACGAGAGCCAAGACGCCTGCTGAACCAGAAGGCAGAGATGCAGCCTCCGGAGGGCCAAGGAGAAGACGCAGCCCAGGGCGTTGCTGGAGAACGTGGGACCCCAACCTCTTGCTGAGGAACTTGCCAGCCACTGAATTTCGCTTGGCGGGCTGCTTAAAGATGGGCCAACATCTCACTCAACCCTTGAGGCCATGGCCCTATTTCTGACCTGGCACTGGCCAAGGGCCATTCAAGGCATACGCCAAACCGATATCTCCTTGGAAGAAGATCTATGGGGATCGTAAGGATTGTGGAACCATGGATGGGCAGGGAGATACTTGGCAAGAAGACCTGGTGGAGGCTTCCAAGTTCTTGTTAGAGACGATGCTGAACTTGGGCCCAAGCCGAGGTCATTGTCCGAAGGGGAAGAACACTGGCTTGCATGGAAGATCCAGGTCCACTCTTGGTACCTAAGTGCAGATTTAAGGGGAAATGGGATGATTTCAAGAGCACAGACTGAGGTCGGATGGCTTTCTTCTCCCCTGTTGCTGGAGGGACCAGTTTGGGTGGTCCCTTCTTCTGAGAAGCATTTAAGTTCTTCTTGGCTTCCTCTGTTGTGTTCAAAGTGGACTTGGAGGGGGCAACCCTTCCAGCAGAAGACGTCCCGCTGCGAAATGGGGGTGTAAGGCTACTTTAACAAAACAATCTGATTCTGCTTTGCTCCAAGATCCGGAGTGGATGGAGGTTGACCTTGGTTCTCTCCCCCTGGTCCTTCTCTTCGGATAGAGGTGGTCTCTAGGTCTTCGAAGCAACCAATGAAGAACCTGAGAATGCGTTTTAGTAAGGCTTGACCCTAAGCAGGGAACTTTCTCCAAGAGTAAAGAAGGCATAGACCTGATAGGGAATCAACAGACGTCTTGCAATGTTGTTAACCCGTTTAGGAATTGGGCATTGGAAAGGAGGGTTATGGAGGTTCTGTTTAGTTTGAGCTCTCCAAGAATGGGTGCTGTACTTGCAAGCTACATGGTGTGGAGAAGGATAGGGTGTCAGGGTTTCAAATAGCATCCAAAATTAAATCAGAGTCCCAGGCAAAGGATTCCTCAAAGTTCCAATTTATGAAGAGAGCCATGTTGGCACATCTGGGAAAACCTAGATCTGAAGGCTTCTGGGTTTTCCCCACCCAGTTGAAAGTTCACGATCTTGCCCCCACGCTCACAAGTCCATCCCACGGTCCAATCTTCCCCTGCCATGCTGGCACCTTCCACCCATCCAGTTTCGGTCAGGTGCAGAGGTGCAAAGACAAAGGATGACCTTGGCTTTCTAGAAAGAATTTTGTTATGGCTACGTCGCATCTCACTCCGTACAATCCCCCCCTCCTATTTTCCCACAATAGAAAAAGGCACAGTAGAATAATAGAAAGTGCGGCAGGCCAAAGTATAACGCTTTGGATGGGTAGCAGTTAGACTTATATACCGCTTCATAGGGCTTTCAGCCCTCTCTAAGCGGTTTACAGAGTCAGCATATCGCCCCCAACAACAATCTGGGTTCTCATTTTACCCACCTGGGAAGGATGGAAGTCTAAGTCAACCTTTGAGCCGGTG